ACACAACACAGTCGACCCCACGACGGGTAGACAGCGCGGTCAACATGACCCGGCAAATATGCCACTAACCGATCCGGACCAACAAGGCCGGGCTCATCCACATTACAAAACCCGCCGCATTATGGGGCACTGGGAGACCAGCATGGCGCGTGGCACCACCCAATCCACATGGCAACGCTCAAAACCCACCAGCCGGACGGGGACAGGCGTCACCTGCGCTTCAATCGGCTAACCCGGAGCGGACTCGACCAAAATAATTTCAAACCCGGCCCCGGCAGCACAACAGTTTCCTCTGGTAGCCCAACCTCCACAGCTCTACCCGGACAGAGACACGCACGAAGGGTCTTTGAGGAGGGCTACGAACAATGAAGAGATCGCTTGCAGGAGCGGCAAAAGTTTACGATGAACCGGCCTTTTCAACCGCTCGAACTCAAAAAAAATTCGATCGGACCTTCGAACCAGCCCGACCCTGAGGTTGCAGATTGATCGGTAGTGACCGATTTACTCATGGTGCATTAAATGCACTTTGCGACCTATAACGGTTGCGTAGGACATTTACTGTTTTTGCCCGGCAAAAATTTCTGAAACCCGGAGCTTAACCGGACTGCCCGCCGCTGGCAAACTAGGGCGACCAGCGTCAACCGATCGTGGACTTGTCTCTCCATTTTGAACCGACGGTTAGCGTTCGGGTGTGGACTTCTAACGGACTTATCAGGTCTGCAGCGAGATTGAATCGGAAACACCGTACAAGATATCCGAGAATTGGCGCCTCGGACTCGGTTGCACCGCACCGCGACAGAAAACCCCACGGAGACTCAATCATCGTGGACGTCATCCTACTCCTAGTCGGAATGAAGTCTTAGACAGATTTTGTACTTCTCTAACCGACGAAATTATAGTTTTCTATTTAGATCTGCTAACAGATCTCTTTTTGCTTGACTTTTAATGGGCAATAGCCGCCAAGATAACAATGATTGCAAGCGACGGTACACTACGTGAAAATGACGATTAACGAGTTAATTGATGTTAATGTTAGCTGGAGGAAATGTGCTCCCGCTCTTTCTCCTTCCGCCGTGCGCAGCAAGAAACCTGAGTCTGTTGGTGGCGCTGCGCGCCGCCGTGGCCCTTAGATCAAAGCGGCCGCCACCAGCACGCGCATTCTGTTTGCGCTTGGCACTGTTCGTGTGTTCGCTTTGATTCGGCATTTCTCATTGCTGTCTGTCTTTGCTCCTTCGATATCGTGTGCGGCGAGTGATCTCTGTTCTTTTGCCACCCGCCACACCCTGCTGTTTTTCTTCTGCTGTTATTTCGCGTTGCTCAATAAAGGGGCCTTCGGTTGCGCAGGGCACTGGTCGCTCTCTTCCGCCGACCCCGGTCGGCCGGCTTCTCGCTGACCCACGGTCACCGCACACAGTCGATTACAGAGAGCACCAGCCTCCCAGCAGCCGGGGCTCCAGTGCCCCAAGTGGATTCCGGCAGCGGTAACATTAAGTTAAAATTTGACTTTTAATTTGCTTACTGGAATTGCTATTAGACTTTTGCTTTTTTATCATTTCACGCTGCATAACTAGTTCATTTTTTATACATTTTATTTTCATTTTGTTCTCCGAGCCAACAGAAGTGGAATCTACAGCGGCTTAACGAGCCAACAGGAACTTCCACACTTTTTGGCGGTGAGATGCCGAACGCCAGGGATCCGGAAGAGAACATAAGGACGGTCACCAAATGCCGAACTCCCGCTGCAGAGGACTTGTACCGGCGACCACTATCTGATCGTCGACCGGAGGGCACAACACAGGAGTGGTGCAGAGTCCGCGTATCCTTCGCAGGAGCTTGGTTCTAGCCCAAAGGCATGTGAAGCGCACTCACGACTGTGTGCTATGGCCGCTGTACACAGCGTACGCATACATGCCGTTCCCCACCTCGTGGACGTTCGTGTACTGCTGAACTTCCGCCTGTACGAATATACCCGCATACGCTGAGCCATTCAGCGCTCTCATTCTTCAACTGCAACATGATTCAGCGTTCTTCGCTTGCGTTGGTTCAACGAGCTCAGCCCGCGCACAGGTTAGGAACGTGGATCAGTTGGCCAGGCACGACTTAGCCTCCCCTGCCATTCTGCACTACATTACGAACACTCTACGAGCAGCGTCGCAGATTCTATGCATATCGCCGCACTGGCTCTTTGTCCTTTCCCTCCCGCATACCGCGTGACATTTCCCTTTATTTATCCCAATAAAGGTCCTTGGCGTGACGTCTTTGTGCTTGCATGCTACACATCCAAGTGGTTAATTACTCAAAAACTGAGGTCTAACAGAATTAAACAATGAGCTGGGCCCTGGGGCTCACGTTCGGGAAAACAACTCCGCTACTCAGCGGCTACCGAATTTATTTTGGCCAAATCGTTCGGCAATCAAAACGCGCTCCGCGAAATTTCTTCCGGCAAAACCTCTGGTAGGCAAAAATAGTTCCCTTACGAATGATCTTCCGGCTCAATTATGATGCTATGAACTTACTTACAACTAAAATGAAGCCACCCGACCGGATGCAGACATATGGTCCGGAAGAGTCGCTCAGCATCGCGCTCAGGAGAATCTGTCAGACGTTGAAAAAAACTGTTCCGTAAAAATATTAGACAGTAAAATTACAAGTCCCAAGTGCAGTCGGCAGCGAAACCAGGTTCTGGCGGTTGCGAACACGGTTATATACTAGGGACGAAAAGAGTTTCGTTCCATCCGGATCGGGCTTTCGAGACGCTCAAGAGAAATTCCACAGCGTTGTTGCTAATGTTAATGGTAATTCACTACACACCATTTATTTTGGTAGCCGAAGCATGTAACATAAAACTTTCACGCCACTTTTCCATGTTTACTTCGAAAAGGACATCAATCCCAAAACTGAATAGCAATCCAACGCAGTTCAACCTGATCTAAGCAAGCTGAACCCACTCTACCTAAACAAAACTGATGGAGCAAAGCCTTATTTTAGGTTTATTTGTTATATTTTCCAGGGCGGAAAAATCGAACCACCGGCTACCACCTGTGATCCAAAAGTGATGTTGGCGATCGTAATGATCCGATCATTCAGATGCGCTATAGACTAATGCTGCTGGGTTGGTGGTTACGCAATGGCAAAAGTTACTGTACCAGGTGTTTTATCGTAGTAAATTGTAAGTTACATTGGCAGGAATCTCAGACACACATAAAAGTCCGACTGTTCGTCTGGGAAAACTGGCGCCATCAGCGTAACTGGGCTTTAGCAACACGTTTGAATGCGATCCGGCAAAAACGATTGGCTACTAAAATATGTGATCCAACAACAGGCTCCGACAAAACAGCACTTTAATTAACACGATATATTGTAGTACCCACTGCAACAAAATTGGTCTGGCAGCAAACAAATGATCTTCCAAGAATGTGTAGCTACGAAATGCTGACCAGCAGGCTGTCTGGCGGTAAGTAATTGTATAGAAAAAACGTAGGGCTGTAATTATACACACCCATAGAGAGCTCGAATCCGAAAACCAGTTTCGGCGAAACTGCCCGGTTGCGAATGCACAGTCCGGAAGAAAGCTCCGGTTGCGCTAACGCGCTCCGGAAAAACAGCTCGGCTACATATATTTTGCCGTAGAACGGTCGGCCATTGGAACGGAACGGTCGGTTGTGCATCCCAGCAAAACCTCCTGGCTGTTGGTATGTCGCCTGGCATGAACGTCTAACTGCAGAAACCGTTTCCAGGGAAACTGCCTGACTGCCCACGCAGTCCAACGAGAGCACCGAGGTTTAGAAAATTCTCCAGACCAGTTTGCTGGAACTGGTTACAGGCGACTCTCCCAGCTCCTAAATAAATGGTCTTGCACATCCGGCTGAAGAACGCACGACGGAAACATGTCCGGCTGTGGAATGCGAAATCACAGTTTGGCGAGCGTCATACTGGTGTCAGAGAAGAAGGCTCTGCACACACGACAGCAGCCCCATTCGCCACCTACCTGGTTGGCTCAAGGTCAAGCACAAATAGCTTGATCTCAGCCACAGTGGCTGTGCTACCTCGGTAGCCAGCGGTTCGATTCCGGCGCCCGCTAAATCGCCATTTTTGAGAATACCTCACGGAAACGCCTCCCCTTCGCTGAACTGTCACGGACAGCTGTCTTATGGCTGACTCTGTGACACTGCGAGAGCTCATCCCAAGAAACCTCCTGAGCTACGTGTACTGTATCTGCCCGATGAGGTTGCACCATTTGGTCTGGTATACGGAAATCATCGCACACGCTTCAGCACATACCCAATCCTTAAACGTTTCTAGGGTCGATTAAATTTTTTTGTTGAAGTTTATAGACGTAAAAGACCGTTGTTTTGGCTTTCACCCGGTTCAGAGTTTTCTATTATTTGTTTTGTTTTTCATAAAATTTATTGATGTTTACGCTTGAAATTTAATGAGAGCTGGTCGTTTTTCTGAAAATTAACCATATCTATGAACTTTGTTTTGTTAAGACATTTGCTGCCTGGTGGCCGGAATATGAAACTGTATAGTTAGAGCGACCGGAGGGTTCAGAGGGCGATTCATGAACAGTAGTGGTCGGATTTCGGCAGATTGGTGGATGCGATTTACTGAACATCCACTATTAAGTGCATCCACTCATCCACCTTCCTGCCGGTTACATATGTGTTTTTTCTCCAGCTACGACCGGGAAAAAACGAAATTTCATAGAGCAACCAAGGTCTAAGATAACAATTCAAGCAGACCAAACGGCCAGCGAAATTCCCGAAAAGTTTGCTTTCGGTTAGTGAATTAAATCGCAACCCCAACATTTGGGCTTGTTGCCCTGCATGATTCGCGAGGCTTTCGCTTTCAAAATTGATTTGCCTCACTCGTGATGGCTTTGTGCTTGCGTGGCTTCCTCAAATGGCTTCCTCAAATTCTTTCATCAAATTTCAAATCCTCAAGCCGAGAGCTACTGATCCCGCAAATCTCCGAACTCGTTTGTACCTGGAAACCACGGTTTTCCTGGGTTAATTTGATTAAATAAGTAAAGGAAATTGGTACAACCGTACAGGCACCACCTTCCACTCCTGTTAGCCACGAGTTACCTCCTTTTACGCTCTTTTGTATAAAAATACCTTTTTGGCTGTATAAAAGGTACCCCCTTTTGCACTCCGTTTTGCTTTATGTGCTGCTCTCCAGCAGCTTTGTGTGCTGCTTGGCGTCATGCAGTTCATTGCATTCATTATGATTAATTTTTAGTCTGATTGTCTACGATAACGAATTCTCACTGTCCGGATCTAGCTTTGTAGTTCAGTCAGTTGTATTTCAGCCTTTACGCAAGAAACTTCAAGTTTTAGTGATGGCAACTACCAGAAACGGTGTGGAAGGTACTAATCATAAAGGCTTCTTGTTGACGGACGTTATCAATCTCGCCAGTCGGCACTGCCAGCGATAACGGATGTACGAAACTTCCTCGTTAAAGGTGTTCCCAACACAGATTTACTAGTCGCAGGACTTTTGGTCGCAGACATTTATTTCACTGTAATGTCATCTCGCCGCGCGACATTTCGTCGGCGAATCGTCGCGGGAACATTTCGTCGGCTTGCCGTTTCGACGCCAAGACATTTCGCCGCGAGTCTGTTTCGACGAAAAGTCCTTCTTTCGACGAAAAGCGAAAAGTTTTGCGTCGACTTTAATTGCGGCGAAATGTCACACTCCCAGTTGTCCGGGTGAGAATGGCATAGGGAAATCATGAAACTTTCAATATTTTTGCACGGAAATGTTATGTTTTAGATAGCCGGCGGAGTGGCAAAGAATAATTATTATCTGTACTATATAAGTAGTAAAGCCAAAAGAGCGACACGCCTGCTAGTATACTAACGGTGATTTTTCACGATGGTCGATGAGGCAACCCATCCACTAACTCGATAGCCCGTTGGCTCCATAGCTTGCTGTGTTAAACTCCTTTTGTGTTTATTGATGTAACGAACAAAGAACTGTAGTACAAAAGAACTGTCGTTCAAAAGAACTGTAGTTCAAAAGAATGAGCAAAGAATTATAAGATTTCTGATTTCGCTCAACGACGCTGCAAAACACGTAAGCCAATAGCATTTTAGGCTTTAACCCGCCAGCGTCCAGTACTTGTATTGGTTTTTTATGCTGTACTATGTACTCGGCTGGCACCAATGGGCGTCAACGGGTTAACGCACTGCACTTGCTTGACGTTTGTCTGCCACTGGCATTATCAATAGCGCTATGTCGCCTTTATAGTATAGCTGTGCCACTGTTCTACGAATGTTCTGAAACAGCTCAGGTAGCCTCACAAGTCAATAAGCAAGACTCAAAATAATCTCTCTTTTGCCGGAACGTTGTTTGGCAGGTTGTTTTGAGGCTCCTGGCAGTCGGCACCAGGATGCTGCCCGCCACATTTTAGACACACATGCTGTTTTACGCACAAGCGTCGTTCGCACTTTTGCTTTAGATTGAACTTCCAACAAATTGTTTTCTTTAGCTTTTCCTTCTTTTTCTCGATTTCCTTCATTTTCCACTTAGGAAAAACGTCTGCTAAAGGCAGCTGGTGCGCATTTTTCAACCAGAACCTGTTCGTAAGATAGGAAAGGGCCCACTTGCGACCGAACCGTTTGCGTATAAGTATACCGCATACGATGAAGAGCATTTCACGATCCTGGATAAGCGACTTTTCCTCTAGAAACAAATATATTTTATTCCTACTCATTGACAACCAAGTCTGCATAAAGGGACGTACGTAAGAAGTTGTTTGTTTTCCAGCGTTCCAAACATCTAGAAAGTCTGTCCGCCAGCTCGGTCCACATATACTCTCTAAGTTCTTTCATAGTACAACGCCTCGGTGGTTTCTTGCAGCCATTTCCGACGCCCAGTAATATTCTTTGTTCTTTGTCATTGAGCGCTTGCTGCCCATAATGCAACAGCCTTTTCAACATGTGCAACGCGAAATCGCAAGGAAATTCTAAAAAATTATTGAAATAAGCTTTTCAGAGCAAGCTTACGCACACAATCGTAAAGCAGTCTGCAGATTTTTACATAAGCGACAAGTGACTTTTTCAATAAGCTAAACATCAATGGAAGCAGTGGCCTAAGGCAAAAAACCTGCGATTTTACGCCGTTATACAACTTATACGCATAGCGGTCACTTGAAAGATGACTGGATTGTTTTGATGAGCTTTATTGCTAAATTTTTGTTTGTGCTGATTGCCAAGACGCGTTTTATTACAGTTTGTTGAACTGCGTGTGCGTGTATGAATGAACACGTTATGGCTTTGGCCCTAACGCTTGACAATGTCTGGGGCTATTCTCATTTTTAATGTCATCCTAAAAGTTACCAAACTTTCTAGAATCTTTTGCAACACGGTTGCACTGAGATATAAGGTGTTTTTCTGCTGTATATAATATCGATCGTTCTTGCGATTGATCTACCATTTTCTGTTGCTTTTTATTTCACTGTTATTCCTGCTTGTTGTGTGATTTAAGTTACAGTATGGGACTTTTTCTTTCGCTTTCCGTCAGCACAGTACGAATATATTGCGCAGTCATATACGACATTGACCCCTTACACATGCCACTTACCAGCTAATAATTTCGTCTGGCACAGGTGCCGGTTCTTGACCTTGCAAGCGCTCAGCATTCAGCACCAGATCATTCATTACTGGAGTCATCTGACCATGTGCCGGGTGGCCGAACAAAATAACCGTCTGGTTTATTATTTTGTGCTGGTCCCCATAATGCTTAACAAGCATATTTAGCTTCACTCTGAAAAGCAGTGCTACATTGCCTGGCTGGTGCTCCTCGGGCAGGGTGCGCAACGGCGGCAACACCGCCAAGGGGTTTGTGTGCAGGATTCAAAGTATGGCGGAAACTGACACGCTACATGGCTAAAACCTGGGATCATATTTTACATTAGGGCGGCCAAAAAGCGAAACGTGTTATATCCGCCACCAGCTCCCTCTCCTGTAGTGTACGCTTAGCAAATTTGATTTAATACGACAAATGAGTTAAGAGAAGTGTGCCGCTGTATGGTACCAAATTCGTGTGCACGAAGAAAAACTTTCGTTTTTGAGTACTACGACTCCGCTTGCAAATTGGTCACTCAAACGACATTCAAATAACGCGCCGCAGGGGCGGTTTATGCTCGGTTAGTTGAACGGCACAGTAAAAAATGCGGAATCAGCCAAAGGATCACCAACCGTCCAATGCGGTGCGCCACATACGTACTGATTACATATCGTGAATTAGGTGTTCAATGTGCTGAACCGCAACGCGCAAGCGACCATTTCGCCAGCGTAATCGAAGTACTCCCTACTCTCAACGCTTCTAAGTTCTATGCATTTTTAGGATATTCTCTAGTCAAATTATTTGTATACGTTGGAGTGAACACCGTTTGTGCGAGCAACATCCCGTTGGGGTGTTATGGTAGAAGTGAAATTCAAAACGCACGGAGGTGTGCCGAAGTTCTCATCTTTAACCAAACTTCTTCAAATTTTGCCATGAAATGCATTTTCTCCTAAAAAACGCTTTTTTCGCCCAGGTGTAAAGATGATCTTCAATTCTTCATGTTAATGTGCGCTCGTCTTATGCAGTTCGAAGAAGACCGGTTGATGACGAAGGCGGGGCGTAAAAGGTGGTAGTGGCACCTGACACTGGCAATTGCTACTGCCTGAGGCCGCTTAAACATGGAAACTGGCAACTGCCAAGATCATCGCATCATCTTTTCTAATGAAGTAAAAAAGCATAAAAGACTACAATCATCCGTACCGAAAACACGGGTGTCCTCTTTAGTCTTCAGGCTCTTCACTATCATCTCACGTTTTAGTCTCGGCTATAGATGAGTGACCTTCGCCTTCTCCTTCTGCCTTTTTAGCCTTTTCCTTCTCCTGCACCTCCGTGTTTTTACGCCTTCGTTTTTTGATAATTTTCAACCGTGATCTGTACGAGATATCACAAAAACAAGGCCATGTGTTGCATTTATTTGTAGCAGACCCGTGGAGAATTCCAGAACCACGCATACCGAAAAACCTGCATTGAACAGTAATTGTTGACGTGTATGGCTGTGCCGTCCACATCTTTACCGTACTACGTTAAACTGCTACTGTTGCCTCCATTCTTCGATCTGTATGACTTCGGCCGCTCGAGCAATGACCCAGTCTTCGAGTTGTGCCTTCTCAGAAATCCCCGGCAAGGATCTTTGACCGCGAGCCCACATTTCGACGTGACTGCGTGTCCACAGACGTAGCTTTACCTTTGGTTCTCTTGTGCGTTCTGACCTTTGGTTCTGGTTCATCCACGTGTACATCTGTTGTAGTTCAGTGGCTAGTTTTTGAATCTCTGTTGTTCTTCGATATCTGTCTGTACTACGAGCAAGGCACCTGCGTGTGCCGAGAATCTATATAAGCGCAACGGCGCCCAATGTAAAATCACGAGTTGTAATCCCAACAAAATTAGAGACGTGTTCTCGATGTGATCAACTTCACGGTTTTGTTCTGGTCTTCTTGTTTCAAGTGGGGATTTCGCTATCAGACCTCTGGGTAACCTTTCACTTATTGTCTGTTGTACTTTTGCTCATCATGACGTGCATTACTCATAGTCAGGTAGTCTCGAAGTGAGATAGGTGACCTTTAGCTCCCACTTGCATCCTTGACTTTCTCGTTCCATCAACTTCATGCTCTGTAGCGCCAGGTTGATCGATCATACTTTTACCGCCTATCTCTTATTATGTCGGCTTAAGGATGCCGACTCCTGAGTTTTGCTAAAAATTGTATGGGCTTGGTGCCATATTTTAGGACACAATACTCTCCAAATCGATGTGACCTTCAAGATGTCCAATGCACTTTAAGATAACCTTTAAGATGTCCAATTCTATGTTGTGACGACCACAGTTAGCGTCGACACCATTGTTAATGGTCGCGCAGAATCTAAAACGTTCATCGCCGGTCCATGAACATGTTTACGCAGTGCCAGACCAAAGCTTTTTACGCTAAGTTTGCCGAATTTTTCTAGCAGCAGAACAGCCGAAACATGTGTGGAATCCACAGCAGAAGAATTTTCATTTTTTAATAGACGGCGAAATAGCTCTCATAAACGCTTTTGAAAAAGCCTTACCCATTAGCGTCTACGGTTTGAAGAAGGTGCCGTTGCACCTGCAACATCAGTCTCAAAAATTCCGAAGCAAGTTAACCTGATGTGGCTACGTCCTTACTCGATCAAAATGTATTCACAATGCTAACCGGCTGTCTTTATGAATTACTGTAATTAATATTTTATTGCTAGATGTCAGTAATTACTGTATCAAAAAACGGAAAAGTGCTTGACTGCAGTCTGTTATGCAACGGCTGAAGCCTACGGTAAAGGTAATTTAAAACGGTTTTTTGGAAGGGCTAATTTGGACGGCAAGGTGTTCGCGGCGGCAAAGGCAAAGGTAAAGGTGTAGTTGAAAAAGGCAAAGGTAAAGGTGAATTTGAAAAAGGCAAAGTGAAAAGGCAAAGGCAAAGGGGAGGCAAAGGTATTCTTGGCCGACCCCAAATGGCGGCATTTTGGCGTATTAAGTGCATACAGGCGCACACAGAAGGTTTACTCTATTACTGTATTTCGGATAGTATTGCCTCTCAATGGAACTTATCTTGTTCAAAATTCCGGAGGATCACAGCTTTTCCTTGGTTCGATTTACAAATGATACTTAGTAGGTCTCAGCTTCTGATCCTGAATGTATCCTAAAGTAGCCTGTGATCTGTGATTGGGGTACGAGGACAATTGGGTGCTGTGAACATACTCTTCACGATTAGGGTGCGATGAACACCCGGGACTTAACTTTACAGAAAATTTTATTTTGATAAAAATGTTACACTCAATTGTTTTCACCGTTTATTTCGACAAATTACGGTCCACCAAAAAAATTATTGTATCTTCAAACCACATTTAGAAGATCATAGTGCTCCACAATTTGTCAAAGAACAAAATAATAACCCGAACGAATTTAGACAGCATGTTGTCTGCAATGAAGTTCTCCTCATGATCTGGAAATATCCGCTGCCATTGCCCATTCTGTCGAGGCACAATTCCCTTCAGTCGTCTTCCTAGTGTCGTGCAATTAATACTGTAGACTGTATAGTCTGCGGTGCAAACAACCTGCGATAAAATTCCCTCCTGACATGACTTGACTGCTGCGTCTGTAGCAGCATTATGACAAGCTCTAGCGACTAAATCCATAGCTGATATTTGTGGACAGTTGGATTTAGTACACGTAGCAATCGGATTAATTAGTAAAAGCAAGTAAAACAAACATCACTAAAACAAATCTAAAATAATCTAAAATAGATGCTGGAATAAGCAAATATGTATTCGTACTCCATGCTGTGCGTTTTAAACTTGAATTTAATTTTAAAATTCCAACCGTGACGCCAGTAGTGTTGCGAGCTGCAGACTAGTCGGATGTTCATTGCACCCTAATCGTGAAGGGTATGCTCACAGCACCCAATTGTCTTCGTATCTGCAGCGTTAGTTATGCTTTGGACTATTAATTTTTACTGCAGTCGCCGGCATTAAGAGTAATGTGTCCGTTTGACGAGGACGCTGCAGCATTAACCAGATTAAGGATGCCGACTGTTTTTAAATATATTCATACTAGAACTTTTTGTAGAGGTTTCAGTACTGCAACTCTCAGTCCTCTCTCAAATCGTTGCAGCCATTAGGGTGTCCAGTTTCTACGTAGTGTTTCAAATGGACACGGTCAAAATTTAGATTAAAGGCGATGTTACCGTTTGATGTTTATGTTAACAATTACAGCAATAATTTCACCAACGTGGATACTGACGATAAGTTCCGAAAACGGTAAAGTGTTTGACGGTGGTGTGTCAGGCAACGGTGGTAATCGGCGGCAAAAGTTATTTACTGTATAACGGCATTTGAGAAGTTAAATGGAACGGTGAGTGCTTTGCTATCCAAAGGTACCTTTCCTCTGCTCCGTAGACACAATGGTTAAGGCAAATAGGAACCACTTGAGGTTCCTATTTGTCCGGATATACATGATTTCTGATTGAAATGCATTAACATTTCACATTGTGAAATTCACAATGATTATGTAATGACCTAGAAAATGTTTTGATTCAGAATACGATTTATTAAACACCATTTCAGACATCAACCGTACTTCAGCATTCACACTGTTTTACTGTTAAAATCACATTTTAAACGACATCGTGCGTTTGCTGCGGAAACAAACCTGTGGCTACCGCAGATTATTTATTCTGCACAAACAATGTGTAAACTTTTAAATAACTGGGAGAGGGTTTTAATACACGTAAAAAATATCGTCAGTACTGAACTATTGATTAGTATTAAATCTGTGGTTGCACTTTGCCTTTAATAAAGTTATCGAATATGACCCACGCTGACCGATGAAGCCAGTGAATTGCAGTGACTGTTATGCTCTTTATAATCTGATCTTTATTGAATATACTCGACCATTACACCTTTCTTAACATAATATGAGGAAAATAAAGGAAAAATATGAGGGAAAATTTACATAATAAAGTAAAATATTGTTTTATTCAAAGGAAAAAATTGGAAAATTTTCAGACTGGATTATTGTTAATTTACAATTAGTACTGTACGCTAATAATAATAAGTTATGTGCATTGTGCTGCTACAGACGGAGCACCTGGGCACCCGCCCGCTGTATCGGCACCTGGCAACCGCCCACGGTAGCAGCAGGCAGCGGTATGCGCACCCGCTTGCTGTGACGGTAGTAAACAGTCGCCCGGGGCGGTTGAGCGCTGCACTATGGCGAGCCGATATTAGGCGCATGGCAAGCCGAGCAATTAACCAACTGGATAGGCGAATACTGTAATCTTCTGTGAGCCTGTAAAACTGATTTTGACTTTTGCCCACTTTTGAAGCACTGAATTGAAAATACAGTACATTTAATAATTTGTTGTAAACCTGGTGAATAATGGTAGCAAAAAAACTGAAACTAGCGTAAACATTATTTAAATATAATTTATATGCAGTTACAGTTATGTAAAGCATACAGAACTGTTAAAATTACACATATTTATAATTATACTACTTGGCAATCGATCTTCACGAAAGTAAAAATAAATACAATTTCGCGATTTTGTTCGGTTTTAATTCCGCATTTTCATTTAACTACAGATATGTACTGTATGACGGAGAGACGAGTACGATAGGGATAATATCGCAATATCTTCCTACTGACCTGACTCAACGACAGAGAATGAGCTGATAATTTCAATGTGGCATAGCTAAATAATATGCGTAAGCTACGATCTACGCGAAGTGAGAATACCACACTGCATTCCGACGATATATTTTAATTAGAAAACTCCGACACTGCCAAACTCTGAATGAGAACGAACTGATCCAAAATACTGTAACTCTCGGACTTATATAGGCGCGAAGCGCATCCGGTTAGAAAAGCCAAAAAGTATATCCGAAGACAAAAGGAAAATGCTAGAAAGTACAACATGTACGAGTACAGAGAATATTATAGAAGTACGTACATCGCTGCTACTGTACACCATATTCCGTCATGTATACAAATAGGTGGCTTGTGTTCACGCAGACCCGGCTGACTATCGGAAGCGTCTAAACAGTAACTTTTATTGCACCTATTCAAAGGTGCCTGTGTAAACGCAATTCTGCTCCCTATTTAGGTATCTACTTAGAAGAGCGTGCCGCGTTCACGCATACTGCTAAGAAATCGGCCGTTTTGGGCGGTGTCTCAATAGAAAACCGATAGATAGAAGTCAGCGTGAATCCGGCCATAATACCTGAGTTATTATACGTGTAGAGTGCCCAAAACGTTGTTTTACGCCGCGTGGCAAGTCTACCCCAATCCAGGTAATATCTTTTACTATTTTTTTAAGTTGAAAATGTTGGAAAAATTCTGCCGGCATTTTGACCACAAGATATTCGGCCGGCGTTTTGACCTCCAAAAATTCTGCCGGCAGAAAATTCGGCCGGCGTGTTGACATTGGCCGCCAGCGGCCAAAATAGTCTCATTATTTCTTTAATTTGGCACTTGAGATCTGTCCGCCACTAGTTATACTTACTTTGAAGTAGGCGTAACCATTTACCGTTATTTGAAGTGAAAATCGCATTCAAGTTATACAAGTCACAGGCAACTATTTAGCGAACCACTCACCAACTAAATCTTGTTGCCCTGCATTATGTTCCTTTGGTTTGCTAACACTTTTGGTTGAGAAATCCTTTGTTGCTTTGCCACAGTCAGTATCGTGGTTTCCGACGGACCTGGGGTCATGATGTAGTAAACTATTCGTCGATTTAGCGGCGATTTTATCAATAGCAAAATCCGCTGCGGGAGGATGATGTGGCGGTTCTGGGCCATTCGTGTACCTGCGACAGTCCTTTAAGCAAGGAATATTTAGCAAGTGACCCATGTAAATTTCGCCACATTAGCATTGCATGCTGGTGATCATGGCTTAAGGGGATCCTTATGAGATGAAAGTGGGGCTGAGAAAATATGAATTGGTCAAAACAACTGAAAGATCATTTCTGCCATTGCTCTGACTGCATGCGCAAAAAGTTTAGCTCCAAAATGGTGTGCTGCGATCTTGTCTACGCTCTGTCTAGACACAGCTACTATGAAACCATGGAAAAACTTCAAATTCAAAACTCGAATGAGAAATCAAATTGGATGTAATATACATCCGTGGATGTGTTTTAGCCTAGCAAGCTTATATTCTCCAACATGCTAATACAAAATGTTGTTAACTTACAAATTAATCGAAAAAAAAACACTTTTAAAAGCTGTTTTTTTTAGATTATTCAAGCACGCTTTACTGGACTACTAGCCGACCCAGCGCAAATTGCGCGGACGCGGAATAAATAATGCGATAGATAAAAATTGCAGCTCATATCTACAGGCTACAAATGAAAAGTGGTTTTATGCCTGAAGCGCAGCATTCTTCAATACGTATGCCGACGGCCACAGTTGTCGATGACATCTACTGGAAAATTTGCTGCTTGCTCCTTTGACTGCAGAAATGCCCGTCCTTACGGGGAGGGGGCATTCGCCCCCCATTCCAAAAAAAAGTTACAATTCCCATATAAAATTTAAATAACTCCGGATTGGCGCAACTGCGCCATTGTTCTCCTGCGGGAAGAACAATGGTGCGCACCCTCACCCCCCCTAAAACCTAACGATGGGCCAGACTGCAGAGATGACCTTGAAACTGAAATGGGAAACCTTTCTCCCAAAAGCAGATAAACCTTCTCATTAGTTTACGATGTGTTTTTTTTTATTCCAAATCAGTTACCAATCAGATAAATTTTGTGCGGTTGCTGCATGGGACTATAATTTATTAGAACGTGCCCTGTCTTGAGTTTTTTGTCATTGTGCGCTTTCAGTCAAGCTGCAAACTATCCGATAGCAGCTTACTTATTTTAAATCCAAGTTAGACCACTAACCCCGTTGCTGCGGCTGCCTTTTATATCCCGATGTAGTAGTCAGTTTACTACGTAGTAGGCTAATAATATTCTAAGTGTCTCGGGGCAACGGTTTTCATTGGAACAGCAATACTTTTAATTGGGATTGTTGCTTGGAAATGGAATTTCTGCAGTAAACGAAGTATGCGAAAACCATAGTTAAGTAATTTATTGTTAGGATGTTTTTTTTACCTTCCTGGAATGTGAATGGCCCCTTGGGGACCGGGGGCTTCTTCGAAACAAATTTTTTTCATTTTCTTAATTATCAAAAATTAAGTATTTAAAAGCAGTATTTCAACTGGAATCATTGCAATTATTCTAAAATAATACTGATGCGCACCTTAGTTGAATACAGAGCAAATTTTAGATCTGTACGAATAAGTATTGTAAAACACTGCCCTCGAGATCAGTTCCATTTAATTCATTCAATAACTGGGTGCAGGATCTGCGTAAGCATCTTAAGTTATTCCGAACAGCTCGTACAAGCAGGTTATAAATTTGCAAGTTTCTTAATGAATTACTAATTTTTCAGCTGTTCTGTCAGTGTCGCCGTGTCGGTTACTCGATCTGGGCTCAACACCGAAGAAGGTGGGCGGCACGTGAAGTGCCCTCTGTCCGCAAACATAATATTATTGTTATGGCATACAATGCAATAATTGCAACCTAATAACAACCTAATAACACGTACTACATATGCTTGTACAATGTACTTGTTGCTGAACATAATGGCTGTCTGCTTTATTAAGCTGCACTGGGATCGTCCAATGCCTGACTGACATCGTGCTAGTGAAGTTGAACGGAACAATGTTTACAAACTAAAGCACACGAAACTTATTTTTTTTTTAGCACACCAAACAATCTTTACAAACTAAAGCACACCAAACCAAACACTTAATTTAAGCCGATCTTAAACAAAGAGTTCTTTTTTTTCGTAAATTGTTTTAATAAAATTGAAGTTTGAAAATTCTCCAAAAACCAAAAACCAAAATTCAAATTTTCCTTTATTTTCACAACTGAAAACTGCACTTCAGTCAGCCAAACAGATTCTTGTTTACCAAATTGCAGTTTTGATAAATTTTTGCATAATTTCATTTGACACCATAGTTAACGAGCACGACCCATTTTTTTAATAGTCAGTAAATTGTCTAGCGAAGACTAAATCATTTACGGTACGATAAGTGGTGCACGAGAAACAGACCATAAAATAAATGCAGATTTTATGCAGCTATGCGCGTTAAGACTGTATACTGTGTAGACTCATTTTTGTCTGAAATTATTTTGCCTCTACTCATTGTTGTTTGGGCACTCGGCACGCCTTTTGACCTTTACAAATGACAGTGATGATGGAGTCACAATGATACAAATGATGGAGTCACAGCATTCCCTTGGAAAAATGGCAAGCCGCTAGTATGGGATGTAACCGTGGCTGACACCTTTGCCCTAACATACACCGCCCAGACGTCCAGGGTGCCGGGAAGCGCAGCGGAAATTCGTGAAAATCGGAAGTTACAGCGGGCTGGCAGACCGTTACAACGTTCAACCGCTGGCGTTTGAAACCACGGGTACATTCGGACCACTGACAAAGAAATTCTTCAAAGATCTGTCGAGAAAGATTAGCGACTGTACAGGCAACCCTCGCTCAGGGGAGTTTTTGCGACAGAAAATCGGTATCGAGATTCAGCGAGGAAATGCAGTTTCTGTTCTCGGTACATTCAGCGACATGGTTGAGCGGGAAGATGTGTATTTGGCCTTCAAATTAGCTGAGCGAGAATGATGTTGTGTATTTTTGTTATTGTTACTTGTGTAATACGCGATGTATTTATTAAGTCTGCTCTGTCGAAACCTTGTTGTTACTTAAATTTTCCCCACATCATCCTGCGACTGTCATCAGTTATCAGCAGAGTTTGAAATTTTTCTTGTAGATTTGGGAGTCGACTCCAGATAACACGACATCATGGCTGCTATCAAAAGAAGGAAATTGAACACACTTCGAAAACTGTAGGGGCTGCTAACTCGCCTCAATCAGTGCACTGAACGTGCTGCAGCAGTGTAATTGTATTTTCCGATGGTTTCAGTAATCAGAATACCGGTACGTTAAAATCAAAAAGGGGTCGACCCAGGTAGTTTTAAATGTTTCTGGAATTTAATAAAAGTTATAAATCGTATTAATCAGCCAACGTGAAAATTCATATAGCGAAGATACTGCAAAATAGAAATCAGATTAGAATTAAAAATTTGGCCCAAGTGGCTTGACGCCTTGTATGGCAACAGGAAATGGGCGTATTGCAAGATCGTGATTGGCGCTGCCTGGCCGGCGAACAGGAAAAGTCGGCGTAAATCGAAAGTGAAATGGGGTCCAGTGACTGGCGTCTATTGGTCTCGCCTGCTCTTTCTCTATTGGCTAGTAATTTGGCGCCAGCCATTACTGGCCAGCATATGAACGTCTGACAAGCTACACATACCGCGGCATTTCGCCACCCGAGTCAGGTTTGCAAACAAACCGGTGACCAGCCGTCAATTTTCGAGAATGTGGATGTTAGTCACCTGCTATTGCGTTAGAACCAAATTTAATTGTTTTCATCGAATAACTATTTTATTAAGACGAATAAAGTTATGAATCAAAATGGAATCTTTCCGTAGTGTGGGAAAGCATGAATGTGTGATTTGTGGATATCGGCCGTATGAGTTGTCTGAAAAGCGTTCTATGTACAGCTTTCCCAAAGACGAAAAGTCTGAACTGTATGCCAAATGGGCTAGCGCTGCCAACAAATGTTACATTTTGACTTCGAGTTCTCCTGTTTGTTCGGTTCATTTTGATCAGTGCGACTTTGAAATACCATTTCACAGAGGAGATCAACTGATAACTCGTTTAAAATCCAACGCCTATCCAAAAGAATGTCTGTTCCTGCCCCTACTTCCAAGCAGCCCACAGTCTCCTACCGACACCAAAATCTCCGACATCTCCGACACAAGTCCTGTTTTCTGCGAAAACAGAAATCATGATCTTCAGCGTCGTATTCAAGAACTTGAGCAAGAAAGGGCCAAGCTGCAGCTAAAGCTCCTCACTGCCGCAGAAATTCTTCAAGAGCGGAGACGCATTGAAGTTCTTACTGCAGCTGGGGAAACAGAGAATGTCGAAGAAAAACCGCAAGCAACTGTTTTTTCGTATGAAAGGTATATTTGTTTATTCAACTTTTACCTACTCTATTCAACTTTACTTTTTTCATTCATCATCATACTATATTTTAGTTACCATTAAAACGTAAAAAATTCTCCCGGCATACTGTATGTTTTCGTTGTATTTTCAGATTTCGTGAAAACGATCGCGACATACATGCACTGACAGGGCAGACAGGAAGTAAGACCTTTGAGCTTCTTTATGATATGTGCGGTGGGAATGATGCCGATATTGAGCGACGCTTGCGATACGACCCGCCAGCTACTGAAGAAGAGGAAAGCTACCCATGCAGATCGGACAGGCAACAGAGTCGCATGTCGCTTCGATTTAAAAAGCAATTCTTCATGGTGTGGTTTCGTATAAAGACCGGACTGCCGCATACTGTAATTTCTATTATGTTCAACATTTGCGAAGCAACAGCACGACGTTCCAGTAGGACAATGCCATGTTTGCAGCATATTAGTGCAGGGTAGTTCATCATCCTTGGTTCTCTGAGGCCAGCATTGAGTTTTGATATAACGGTGCAAGGCGAACAGCAATCCGAGAGCATGCTTGCAGCATGCTTCATTCTCCATTTCGGAAGAAGCTTTACAGTCGCAGGTGGTTCTTTCAATACTGAGTACGGTTCCATTTAAAGCGCATACGGCTAAGCTTGCATGTAGCTTATACACCAATCCGCTTCTGGTTTCTGGCTCACAAATTGCAACAAGCGTTGTTGTGGTGTAGGAACTTTTGTTATCC